GCTGGGCTGTCCAGGCCAGGCAGGAAAAATCGTCAAGGAATTGCGCTGCCGAAGCAGGGGCTGTTCAGGCACAGCGGGCAGTGTTGGAATCGGCAAGCGCCGACGAAATCGGCAGAATCGGCAGAATCGGCAGCAGGTGCTGACGATGAGTCTGGACTGTTTTATAGTCCTAGGCTTGACGAAAAAGACTGGGGGCCTAGGCACACGCTGGGTGCAGGGGGCTCAGCGGCAGCGATGCCAACGGGGAAAAATCGGCTGCGCGGATTTGTGCAGCTGGAGGCCCGTCGGGGAAAATCGGCAGCGCAGATTTTTTTGACGAACATTGGGCTGGACGCTGGGCTGTCCCAGGCCCGGCAGGAACATCGTCAAGGAATTGCGCTGCCGAAGCAGGGGCTGTTCAGGCACAGCGGGCAGTGTTGGAATCGGCAGCGCCGACGAAATCGCAGAGAATCGGCAGAATCGGCAGCAGGTGCTGACGATGAGTCTGGACTGTTTATAGTCCTAGGGCTTGACGAAAAAGACTGGGGGCCTAGGCACACGCTGGGTCAGGGGCCAGCGGCAGCGATATGCCAACAGTGGGAAAAATCGGCAGCTCGGATTGTGCAGCTGGAGGAAGCCCGTCGGGAATTTGGGGAAAAATCGGCCCACGCAGATTTTTTGACGACAATGGGCTGGGACGCTGGGCTTGTCCAGGCCAGGGCAGGAAACCTCGTCAAGGAATTGCGCTGGCGAAGGCAGGGCTGTTCAGGCACAGCGGGCAGTGTTGGAATCGGCGAGCGCCGACGAAATCGGCAACGTCGGCAGGAAATCGGCAGCCAGGTGCTGAAGATGATTCTGGCACATGTTTATAGTCCTAGGCTCTTTGACGAACAAGACTGGGGGCCTAGGCTCACGCTGGGGCAGGGGGGCAGGCCGGCAGCGTGATGCCAACAGTGTGGAAAATCTATTCCTGGCAGCGCGGATTTGTGCCAGTCTGGAAGCCCGTCGGGAAAATACGGCGCAGCGCAGATTTTGTGACGGAACATGGGCTGGACGCTGGGCTGTCCAGGCCAGGCAGGAGGAACATACGTCAAGGAATGCGCTGGCGACGCAGGGCTTGTTCAGGCCACAGCGGGCAGGAGTGTTTGAATCGGCAGCGGCGACGAAATCGGCAGAGTCGGCAGAATCGGCAGCCGGTGCTGCCGATGAGCCTGGACTGTTTATAGTCCTAGGCTTGACGAAAAAGACTGGGGGCCTAGGCACACGCTGGGGCAGGGGCAGCGGCAGCGTGCCAACAGTCGGAAAATCGGGCAGCCGCGGATTTGTGCCGCTGGAGGCACCGTCGGTGAATGAAAATCGGCAGCGCAGATTTTTTTGACGAACATGGGCTGGACGCTGGGCTGGCCAGGCCTAGGCAGGAAAATTCATCGAGGGGATGCGCTGACGAAACAGGGGCTGTTCGGACACTAGGAGGCAGGCTGCGGAATCGGCAGCGCCGACGGAAATCGGCCAAGTCGGCAGAATCGGCAACGTCGGCACCACAATCGCCAGCAGGTGCTGACGCTGAGTCTGGATGGACGGACTGCATATGACCGGCTTGCCCCGCCTACAGAGTCATTCAATTCTCTTCCTTTCTTTTTCTTGCCCTATCAACATAACTCCCGATGTGTTTGTTCGCTATCTTAGAAGAAGATAGAGATCTCTTCCTCCCCGGGATGCGGGTGCGATTACCCGCGGCGTCATTCCAATCGCTTTGCCCCTATGGCTAACAACTGCTGATGGGGGGATTAGAGTGCCTGCCATGGTGGTTGAGGGGAGGCTAAGACCTGGAAAGCAATAGGCTTTCCCGGGGCTACTCTATTCCTCCGTTGGCCGCGGCATGCGAAGCTGCCGGTTTTCCCGCATTCCGCCAAGAAAAACGTCGTGCTTCCTTTCACCACATATGACATCATCCAGTAACACCAGCCCATATTTTTGTGAGGCTGCCAGCTGGAATTGGGGGTCATTTCCGGGCTGGCACTATTTTTTGCTGTATTTCACTTGATTTTTAACGGTAGGAAAATAAACAAAAATACTTCCCGGCCACGAAAAAATCCGGGATTATTTCTGGAGGTGGATTGGATTATTGCCAACCTACTGTGCAAAAGTTTCAGCTCAAACTACAGAAGAAATGATTTTTAGAGGGGGGGTGACAGGACTGGGACCCCTAGTAGTGTCTACCCCTGCCAGAGCTGCAATAACACTTATAGCTCTTTAGGGGGGTGCCCCCCGACTGGCCATGGGGCGCGCTGGCTGGCGCCCATAGGCCTGCCGCGGGGGATTTGCGAGCTGCCGCTATGCTAGGACTAACGTGGGGGGCCTCACGGCCCGAAGTAACGCCGCCATCGATGACCCGTTTTCCGGCCGGCGACGACCCGATTCCGGCCAGCGTCCCTATAAAAATCACACACGCCGCGCGCGCGCGCACGCGCCGCCCGCGCCCCGCGCGCTCGCTTGGCGCTGGGGCTCCTGGGCCTGGGGCCTTGGGCCTGAGGCCTGGGCAGGGCTGCGCAGCGATGCCAACGTGGGAAAATCGGCAGCGCGGATTTGTGCCGCTGGAGGCCCGTCGGGAAAATCGGCAGCGCATTTTGTGGCCTCCTCGGGAAAATCGGCAGCGCAGATTTGTGCCCGCCGCGGAAAATCGGCAGCGCAGATTTGTGCCCGCCGCGGAAAATCGGCAGCGCAGATTTGTGCCCGTCACGGAAAATCGGCAGCGCAGATTTTTTGACGAACATGGGCTGGACGCTGGGCTGGCCAGGCCAGGCAGGAAAATTCGTCTAGGGGGTAGGCTCACGGCAACGGGGGCTGACGCGGGGACAGGCCCCTGAATGACTTCTGCTATCTTGCCTGCGGGGGGCTGCATTACGGGCCCTGGCCCCCTGCGCTCTTGCCTGCCCCCCCGCGCGGGAAGGCTAGGCGCTGCTGGGGCCAGCCCGACGTCGCTGGCCGCGGCATGCCGAGCTGCTGTTTTCCCGCATTCCGCCAAGAAAACGTTGTGCTTTCCACATGAAATCAATCCAGTAAAATCAGCATGATTTTTGTGAGGCTGGCCAGCCGAATTTGGGGTCATTCGGGCCGGTTCCTATTTTTGCGTATTTCCTTGATTTTTAATGGTAGGAAAATAAAAAAAATACCTTTCCCGGACCCGAAAAATTCTGGGATTATTTCTGGAGGTGGATTGGATTTTGCCAACCTATGTGCAACAATTTCAGCTCAAAATACCAAGGAAATGAATTTTTAGAGGGGGGGTGACAGCTGGGACCTAGTAGTGTCTACCCCTAGCCAGAGCTGCAATAACCAACTATAGCTCTTTAGGGGGGGTGACCCCCGACCGGCCATGGGGCGCGCTGGCTGGCGCCCATAGGCCTGCCGCGGGGGATTTGGGAGCTGCTGCTACACTCGGACTAACGTGGGGGGCCTCATGGCCCGAAGTAAGGCCGCCATCGATGACCCGTTTTTCCGGCCGGCGACGACCCCGATTCCGGCCACCGTCCCCGGGACCCGCTCCAAGCCGTTGGGCGCGTTGGGGCCTGCTTATCCGCGGCGTGGGCGTGGGGCCTTAAAAAGCCGACGCTCGTGCCAAGGTGCTGGCAGCTGCTGCGCGCCTCTCAGCTTGCCGCGATTGTCCCGGCGGCGGGGGCTGATTCCGGCAACCGTCCCTGGACCCGCTCCAAGCCGTTGGGCGCGTTGGGGCTGCTTATCCGCGACGCGGGCGGTGCACGCACAGTCTGTGCTGCCGCGGCATCGTGACCAAGGTTGCTTGGCAGCCACCCAACGCGCCCCAACGGCTTGGCGCGAGTCAACGGCTATGTCCCGATTCCGGCCACCGTCCCGTGACCCGCTCCAAGCCGTTGGGCGCGTTGGGGCTGCTTATCCGCGACGCGGGCGTTGCTGCATTCAGTTGCCACGCTCGTGCCAAGGTGCTGGCACGCCCCAACGCGCCCAACGGCTTGGCGCGACGTCACGGCGGCGGTGGCCGCTGCCTGTGCTCGCAAGTTGGAGGCCTGGCCGACGTGTCTGGTGCGGACGCCGAGCTTGGGGATTGCGAGGAGAGCTCTACGCTGGCGTGGGCGTGGCATTAAATTGCTGCGCGTGCGCCCATGTGTTGTTGGCTCTCCTCGCCATCCCCAAGCTCCTGCGCGATGTGCCCGCTGCCGAGGCCTGGCCTCCATCTTCCGAGCTGAGGCACAGATGCCCCCCGAATGGTTGTCCATGTTTCTCCCCCCCCGCGGCCTGTCCCTTCGAGATCCGCCGCGTCCCCCGCGGCCTGTCCCTTCGAGATCCCCGCGTCCCCCGCGGCCTGTCCCTTCGAGATCCCCGCGTCCCCCGCGGCTTGTTGCGTGTCCCTTCGAGATCCCCCGCGTCCCACGCGGCTTGTTGCTTGTCCCTTCGAGATCCTTCGCGTCCCCCAGCGGCGTGTTGCTTGACCCTTCGAGATCCTTTCGCGTCCAGCGGTGCGGGCACGATCTCTCTCGGGTGTTCCACTTGCCCTCGGTGGCCGTGTTCGATCGTCGGGATTGTTGTCGCGTGTACGCAGAGTCGCATGAGCGGTCATTGGGCTTATGTCGTGTCGGCAGGCTCCGTGCTTGTGCACCGAACTGTCGGCCTGCTTGCCCCCATCACTCTCAGCCCAAGGCCCTGGGTGCATTGCGGCGAGGCGGGGTTCCTGTGCTGCGTACCCACTTCGGTGGAATTTGAATGTGAAGCTGTCCCTCTCCGCCGCGCGCCTCCCCGGGGGCGCGGGGGGCGAACCTAGCAGCGGCGCCCGTGTTCCAGTCGAGCGGAATCCCGCTGAACTGGCCCAAGCGCGATCGCTCGTGCTTTCGGATGCGGAACGCGATGCCGGCGCGGGGGCCTCCGCCCCCGCGACAGTCCAGTTCGAGCTGCTCGTGCTCGGTAAGAACGACTTCCTCGCCCGTCTCGGCCCCTCGTCTCAATCGGCGTCGGGGATCGTGCGGGTCGTGGTGTCGCCAAGGAATGCTACCTGGTTGATCCTGCCAGTAAGTAGTCATATGCTTGGTCTCAAGATTTAAGCCATGCATGTGTAAGTATGAACTAATTCAGACTGTGAAACTGCGAATGGCTCATTAAATCAGTTATAGTTTGTTTGATGGTATTTGCTACTCGGATAACCGTAGTAATTCTAGAGCTAATACGTGCAACAAACCCCCGACTCTGGAAGGGACGCATTTATTAGATAAAAGGTCGACGCGGGCTCTGCCCGTTGCTTGATGATCATGATAAACTAGACGGATCGCACGGCCATCGTGCTCGGCGACGCATCATTCCAATTTCTGCCCTATCAACTTCGATGGTAGGATAGAGGCCTACCATGGTGGTGACGGGTGACGGAGAATTAGGGTTCGATTCCGGAGAGGGAGCCTGAGAAACGGCTACCACATCCAAGGAAGGGCAGCAGGCGCGCAAATTACCCAATCCTGACACGGGGAGGTAGTGACAATAAATAACAATACCGGGCTCTTCGAGTCTGGGTATTGGAATGAGTACAATCTAAATCCCTTAACGAGGATCCATTGGGAGGGCAAGTCTTGGTGCCAGCAGCCGCGGTAATTCCAGCTCCAATAGCGTATATTTAAGTTGTTGCAGGTTAAAAAGCTCGTAGTTGGACTTTGGGTTGGGTCGGCCGGTTCCGCCTCAGGTGTTGCACCGGTCGCCTCGTCCCTTCTACCGGCGATGCGCTCCTGGCTTAACTGGCCGGGGGTGTTTGCCTCCGGTGCTGTTACTTTGAAGAAATTAGAGTGCTCAAAGCAAGCCTACGCTCTGGATCACATTAGCATGTGATAACATCAATAGGATTTCGATCCTATTGTGTGGCCTTTTCGCGGATCGGATTAATGATTAACAGGGACAGTCGGGGGCATTCGTATTTCATAGTCCGAGGTGAAATTCTTGGATTTATGAAAGACGACAACTGCGAAAGCATTTGCCAAGGATTGTTTTCATTAATCAAGAACGAAAGTTGGGGGCTCGAAGACGATCAGATACCGTCATAGTCTCAACCATAAACGATGCCGACCAGGGATTGGCGGATGTTGCTTCTAGGACTCCGCCAGCACCTTATGAGAAATCAAAGTTTTGGGTTCTGGGGGGGGGAGTATGGTCGCAAGGCTGAAACTTAAAGGAATTGACGGAAGGGCACCACCAGGAGTGAGCCTGCGGCTTAATTTGACTCAACACGGGGAGGAAACTTACCAGGTCCAGACATAGTAAGGATTGACAGAGCTGAGAGCTCGTTCTTTTTTTTGATCAAAATGTAAGGAAGTATATTGAATCAAAAATGTTTGCAAGACAAGCTTGCGGTACACAGGCTGGAAACCAGCAATACAAATGGATTATATATCCAGGCAAAAGGAACAGACTCCCTTGAGCAACCAAAGCAAGACAAGCTTGCAGTACAGAAAGTGAGCAAGGGACTGACTCCCTCGAATGACAGCTAAAGGAACAGACTCCCTTGATTACAAAGAAGAAACATAAAACATGGACAACCCCATGTGGGTAGGTAAAATATCAAAGCTGCACTGCAGCTGCACAAGTTCTTCTGTTGTAGGTCAGAAGAAAATCTTCTAGGCAACTCTACTCCAACTGTAAAGATAGAGTAGTAACCCAAACAGCTTTAAAAAGCTCGACAAACGACCATCAACCCTGCTAGCCACAACAATTCCAACCCAAAGCAGGCAGCCAAAGCCATTCCTCAGAGTCGGGCCCATACATCAGCAAGCAAAGCCACATCCGCAGATATAGCTACTAGAACCAGCTAATTGATGCCCGCCAGACTGAAGCTTGCAGAAGCCACCACGTTCCAAGCTAGAGCAGCAGGTCTGGGCAGAAGCGAGAGTTGATGACAGCAAAGTGACATTGCTCCACAAAGGAGCAACAAACACATCACACCATAAGGATGGCCTCACGTGAAAACAGAAAGGGACCCAATACAAGGTCACACACATCAGCAAGCTACACCACCAGGAGATAAGCTTCTAGACCCGCTACTCCAAGATGAGCAACCAATTACAGCCGTGTAGAATCATGCAAAACCATGCAGCCCATGCAGAAATCCACACGAATGAATAAAGCCCCCCAAACTGGAACCCCCGTGTGGAAAGGGACCACAAGCAGTGAAGCACTTAGGAGGCTGCAGTAGAAAAGCCACCACGTGGTAAGGAACCCCATGTAGCTACAGAAGACGTGGAAAAAAACCAGCCAATCAGGAGTCATGCAAATCATGCAAACCCATGCAGAGATTCCAGCAGCCCCCGATGTTGAATACATCTCCCCGAGAGTCAGAACTGAAGAGGCACAACCGAAGCTATCATCACATAGCAGCAATGGACAGCCACCATTAGCTCCCACCCGAAGGATGATCTCCAACCAAAGTTATTCCAGCAGAGTGCTGGATTGTGACATCCAACCAGAGACCCAAAACCGGGCCATGCAACAGCAGGCATAGAACAAGTCACCATACGCCAGCTATGGTAGTGAACCTTCAGCAAATCATCACCCGAAGACCAATCAGCACCACAATGACTACCTAATTGAGACTAGGACAGCCTCCGTCTAGCACTCTCCCACCGAGAAATGAACTGAAGAAAGAAAGCTCCTCCAATTCCTTCAACCGAACCTTCATGCTAGGAGAGCTGCGACAGAGGACGCTACAGCAGTAGCCCAAGCATTTGGGAGAGAGCCTCAACCCAAGTTGATGGAATCCATGGCAGCAATCATAGAAGCATAGTGGGGATAGTCTCCACAGGATCCCAAAGAATAGCAGCTAAAGCAGACCCAACCAAATTCAACACCACAATGTCTACCTTATTGAGACTAGGACAGCCTCCGTCTAGCACTCTCCACCGAAAATTGAACTGAAGAAAGAAAGCTTCCCAATTTCCTTCAACCGAACCTTCATGCTAGGAGAGCTGCGACAGAGGACACTACAAAGTCAGTAGCCAGCATTTGGGGAAGAGCCTCACCCAAATTGATGGAATCCATGGCAGCAATATTGAGAGCATAGTGGGATAG